TTTGTCTAAACCGCCCTTCAAGATTGGCAAAATATCAGCAAATAGTATAATAGAAGCCATTTGTCTAAACCGCCCTTCAAGATTGGCAAAATATCGCGAATCTTGGACTGAAATCAATACCCCAAAACTTTATTGACGATGGGAAAAAGGTTTTTAGCTTAAGAATTTGCCAGAAAAGGAAACCTTTTGATTCATATGGAATGGACCATAATCCAAATTTTGCTCCAACTTTTTTCTGACCGATGGCGTACTTATTTTTATTTTTATACCAATCTGTGTTACGGGTCATATGATTAAGCATACATTCCCCATGTCTTTGTGCATGTTCATTTTCATTATAAAGTTTTGGGCACGTTATAAATCAGAAAAATATTATATAGGCTTTTCAAAGAGCATTTGTAGACACTTCTTGGCTTTCAAATGGCAAACACAAGCTATTCATTAGTATAATTCGTATTTTTTTCAGCCTTGCTGCACTTGTCTTACATTATCTGAAATTTTTACAACTTGTGTCACAGTTGATATCATCTCGGCTATAGAATTTGATAAAAGTGGTGATCATCTTGCCACCGGAGATCGTGGGGGCCGGGTGGTATTATTTGAGAGGACCGATACAAAGGAGGTCAGTAGTGCAGGAGTTGATTATATATGATTTATTGAGTTTTTTTATTGCTTTAAGTTTGTCAATTTTAAATCCTGCTCGTTTGTATAGAATGGTGTAAGTAGAAAGGATTTAGAGAAGACTGATTACCCAAGTAGTAGGCATCCAGAGTTTCGCTACAAAACTGAGTTCCAGAGTCATGAACCTGAGGTATTCTTTCTGTTTTTTTAGTTGTTGCTTTTATCTCACTTTTATGTGCCTTTTTAACCACCTTTATATAGTTGCTTGTGATGAATAATTTATTCATATTACATTTCATGTGTGCTTTCAGTTTGATTATTTGAAGAGTTTGGAGATCGAGGAGAAAATTAACAAGATCAGATGGTGCCAAACAGCCAATGGCGCCCTCTTTCTTCTGTCTACCAATGACAAAACCATCAAATTCTGGAAGGTAGCCATTTTCGTTTATTTAATTTTTCTTTCGTATCTTCTTGTGATAGGTTCTTAGATAATATATGGGGTCTCTAAGCCTACGTTTTCCCATATGTAAAGGTTGTGTTCACTTTTAGTAGTTGTATCTGATAGCATATTAATGGATAGGATGTTACATATTGCTTTTCTGTAATTAATACAGGCATAAAGGGCAGGTTTAAATGAGAACCATAAGTATTTTGAGGATCTGAGAACCAATTATTCATGATGAATGTCGTGATAAGTTATTCAGAATGAAAATACGTGATGTTCACGATGAAAATGCAATATATCATGTAACAATGAAAATGCATGTTATTTAATTATTCATGATTATTTAGGGTTATTCATCATGAATAATACATGAAATAGTTGGTTTCATTTGAACTTTTCCTCTACTGGCATAATGGTACATTAAACCTTTGACCCTACAATTCTCTCAAGATTCTCGATTCACCTATATGCATTTATCCAACCTGTTGTGCTAAACTAAAATCAGTACGCTTGTGTATTCATGTAAATTTTGGGTCTATGAAAAGATAACAAATGTGTTTATGTTTACAGATGGCGTCGTCTTGGTCCTTAATGACTCATTTTGTAGGAGAAAATACATATTTGAAAATGGTCGTTTGTCACCTAAAACTTAACCATCACCCACCAAACAACCATCATGGCGTCCCGCGTCCCCTTTCATTGTATGTCGTGAACTTTTTTGAAACGAAAGAAACCCACATCACAGAAGCACTAGTTTTTTGTTCTTGGTCATTTTTAATCTCCACCATTTGACATTGTGTTTGCTGAATACATTTAGAGTTAGATCTCCCATTGTTGGATAAATTGGAATTTGTGAAGTAGTGGCCTACAACTTCAAATTGCCAAATTCATATTCTACGTCCAACATTCACAAATCCAGAACCCTTCTCTTGTTTCCTGAAAAGCTATATTTTTCTGAGCCTTTTGGATGCCTATTTGCCTGAAAGCATCTAATAGCTTCAACTGTTTGACTTCACATATTGGTTTATGGAACTAGCCTATTCACCAAAGCACTAGATAAGTGAGGTTTTTGAATTTGGCCATCAATGAGTTACCAGAAATTTTACTATTTTACAGAGTTTAAGCGACCAATTGTTGCTTTTTTGGCCATCAATGAGTTACCAGAAATTTTTTGAGTAATCAAACCAAACATACCCAATATATCCCACTCGAAAGTAGGCTCCGCTCCGCCCCCACCCCCGCCGGTGGGGGGTGAGGATGTACGTAGACCTAACAAGTAGAGGAACTTCTTTTCTGTAAGACCCCCGGCTTGAGAAAAGGTTTTGAGAAGTCAAAAACAAGTTTAGAATATTTTGAAAAGTTATTAAAGAGCACGACACAGCAGAAAATATTTGTAAAAATAAAGTGCACGCCAAAGAAATGACTTGCTTTTTCTCTTATGCCTTCTTATGGTCGTTCAAACTTATTGATTCTGGTTTTTTATTTTTTCTTAAAGATTCAGATATTTTTCGACTTTTCAGGTCCAAGAAAAGAAAGTTAAGAAAATTGCAGACATGAACATGGACCCTTCCAAAGCTGTTGGGAATGGAAATATCGCGAGTTCTAGTGTTTCTTTTAGCCACAAATCTTCACATACTACAAATGGGGAATACACAGATAAATCTTACACTACTTTGACCAAAGACTTTTCTCCTTCAGGCGGCATCCAGTCATTGCGTCTACCGGTGGTAGTTGTACTCAACTTATGCTTTATATATTTCTACAATTTTTCCGCTCAATGATTGCAGCTACTACTCTTTTCTATCACTGCCTAACTTTCTTCTCATGTTAGCTTTTCCAACTTATAATTTAATTGAAGCCCAATGTAAGAACCCATCCCACATGGATAGAAAATTAGATATGTGTGCTTATAAGCTCCAAAAATTATGGGATACCAATAACTTCTGTCATGGCTTTAAGTTGATTTGGAGGTTATTGGGCTAACCTGCTGCTTTTGGTTATACGGTGTTACACCCAATGACTGGATTTTCATGGCTTAATCAGTTTTGAAATATTATCTTATTGCAAATGTTCCTTCACTATCGTCGTTTATCTTGGTGACATTATTTGTGGTTCATTTCATTTGAATCACTTTCTTTTCGATTTAGTATAACACGATGTTAAAATTTGTAGGTAACTGCTAACGAGACGAGCCTTGTTGCAAGGTGTAGAAGAGTGTATGCCCATGCACATGATTATCATATCAATTCGATCTCGAATAACAGGTATAATATTTAATTCTTTCACATTTTATTGTTTTATGACTTGTATAAATGTGAACTGTTATTGTTTGTGTTGTATCAATTTTCTCTTCAATCATTTGATATTCATGAATATGCATATGCAAATTGTTGTTTATTCATTTGCTTTTAGTTGGTGTTTTCAGATTCTGCTGGTTTTCTAAGATATGCAATTTTCTTTTGTGTTGATGCTGTTGTTATACATATGCTCTTCACCTTTGTTATAGGTCTTTTTTAACCATCCTTTGACTCCCTCCCTCTGTTCCTCACCTTTGCATTAGTGATGGTGAAACATTCATCTCGGCTGATGATCTTCGGATAAACCTTTGGAATTTGGAAATTAGCAATCAGAGTTTCAACATTGTTGATGTCAAGCCTGCAAATATGGAGGATCTCACTGGTACAAATTTTAGCACTAATCTGATTTACAAGCATTTTAAATTGTTCCCTAATCATGGATTCATATATATATATATATATATATATATATATATATAGAGAGAGAGAGAGAGAGAGAGGGAGGTTCAAACGAGAACAGTAACTAAATAAGGGAATATGAAACGGCCAAATCTTGTGCAAAATCACATGTGTTTTTGCATTAACGGTCGACAAAAGGGTGTGCGAGCAACGTGGCCCGCGACCTCAGGTCGCGGTCAAAGTTGCGTGAATCACATGTGATTTTATACGTGAGTTTAGTGTAACATGTGATTTGACCGTTTTCTTATTCTCTTATTTAGTTACAGTCTGACTCTCTCTCTCTATATATATATACACACACACACACACACACATATAGAGAGGGGGGGAGGTTAAGGGGAAACCCCCAGAAAAATGAAAAACTGAGGAACACCCTCGTAACCATTCATCTGGACGGTATGCACATGTGCATACAAGTAATTGAAGTTGTTTCTTTGTTTTATGCACGTATGCATGTTATGCACATGTGCATACCGGACAAATTGCTTAGAAATACTTGTATGCACACGTGCATCCCATCTAGATGAAAGGCTACCACGATGTTCCTCAGTTTTTCCATTTTTTTTGTGGTTTTCCTTTGAACTTGACCCTATATATCTATATATATATACTCTGTTATTGTATACTTCTATATGTAATATTGGATAGTAGTCTCACAATCACGGGAAACTGGGCTGTTTACTACCTGCTGACTGCCTCTTACTGCGTAAGTGGTGCTTACCCGGTAAGAAGGGATGTTGATTAACAACACACTCTTGACCCACAAATAAGTTGACCCTGTAAGGAAGGGGTTGCTTTCTGACTCGGTTAGTGCTTCAACCAGCACTTACCCAGACACTTGGTCAACAACTATTTTCAGTCGGTGATTACCCCGACCGTAAGCTTATCCAATTTGTGTTGGTCAATATCCCCAAAGTGGAGAATTTGATATTCAGAGGTTACTATTTGTGTTCATTGTTGTATGGTCTTGGTATCGGTACGATTTAGTTGTGTAAATCAAGTTCTTGTTACGTTCTATAGCGGTCCTCAGTTTAAACGGTCCTCCTTTTATGTGAGTATCTACCATCTACATCTTATCAATCAACATTGCCTATCTATATTTTGGCATACTTGTTTCAAGTATATAGAGTTTTGTGAATATTGACTATGAAAATACTTTTTACTGCAGAGGTGATTACATCAGCAGAGTTTCATCCTACTCACTGTAACACACTAGCTTATAGTAGTTCGAAAGGATCTATTCGCCTTATTGATTTGCGTCAGTCCGCATTATGCGATAGACATTCTAAGTTGTAAGTATTTTGGTGGCTTTTCCGCTTTTCCTCCATATGATTTTGGTTTCTTGTTTACAATCGGCTTTTGGGACACTACAAGAAAATCGGCTTTATAGGACGTTGAATATGTCTAATGCCATAATAGACCATTTATAGGAGCAAATAATCGTGCGTCATATGTAAATTTTTTACAATAAGTTGATGGGACACTTCTGGGCGTCTAACAAGTTTTTTAGGATAATTCAGAAATAAACCGTTTATTAGTCGTTTTATGACATTATTTAAAAATGTGTGCATACACACATCTAAAAAAACCTTAATGGGATACTTTGTTTCAAGTGTTTTAAAAAACGTGTTATGATGCCCAAATACGTCATATTTCCTATTGTAACACCTTTATACAAGACGAACTATTGTTGGTCGTGTAAACTTAGGTCCTATAAAGCAGCCTATTAAGACATTTAGACATCTTTGACGTTCTATAAAGCCGATTTTGTTGTAGCAGTATATCTCAAACAGTTTGAGAGCTCAAGCAATTTTGTTGATTTATTGTGTGTGCGACCATCTAAAAATGTACGTCACGTTGAATCGGTGTTAGAGTTGTAATAAACAATGACACATTCTTTTTGCAGGTTTGAGGAACAAGAATCACCTGGTTCAAGATCATTCTTCACCGAGATAATAGCATCGATCTCAGATATCAAGTTCGGAAGGGATGGAAGATACATACTAAGCCGTGATTACATGACCCTTAAGGTTTGTGATTCTTTCCGTTATGGCTGGCAAACAATTTTTTTTGGGAATTATATAATATATATATATATAGAGCAAACACTAGGGCACACTTCTGACCTTTGGTGAAATTTGAACCTTTTACCTCCAAGGAGGCTAGGATTTACTTCTCTTGTTTGTTAGCAGCTTAATGAGCTTAATGAGACTCGCAGCTTATTCGGTCAGCTATACATGACTGTTTGGTGGTGGCTTAATGATGTAGAAAGTTGCTTATTCAGTAAGCTTCTAGGGGGGATCTTTATGTAGAAAGCCATGTTTTTTCAAACCCATTCCTCCCAATAAAAGAACATGATCCTTCCAATTATGAAAAAACTCTCCCAAACAAAAACTTAACCAATTTATACAGACAGATTAGTCCTCAGTGACAACTTTATCCATATAGTATCTAATGGAAAACCAACCAAACATCCCCAATGACCCTTTGGTTACCTTGGAGTATTTCTTTTTGTGTGATTGTTATTTACCAAAACCATAATCGGCTATGTGCAGTTATGGGACATCAACATGGACTCAGGTCCGGTTTCGACATTCCAGGTTCACGAATATTTAAGACCTAAGGTATACATCCTAATTTCCTGTAACGAATCTATGTCGAATATTTTGCAGCCCATTGATGTTTTTTAACCGATAATATCCAGCTATGTGACTTGTATGAAAATGATTCAATCTTCGATAAATTCGAGTGCTGTCTAAGTGGTGACGGTCTTCGGGTAGCAACTGGTTCCTACAGGTAACACTGATATTTAATCTGGTAGAGTCCCACATTGGCTAGAGTTTGACATTTTTTGTATCTGTTGGAACCCTCTCGTTCTCTTCTCTGGGGCTTTTTTGGAAAATAATTTAATGGGGTTCTACATATGCTCAGATGGTCAAAATCTTGGCTAATTGATCAAAGTGGGTAGCTCCAGTAGACCCATAGATCTATCAAAGTCGAGGTCTACCATCTGGGACATCTTTGCCTGATTGGAGGGGGCGTGTTAGAGTTCCACATCGGCTGGACTTGGACATTTCTCTTTAATATATGTTGGAGTAAATTACAATTTTCAGCCCTGTAGTTTGTTAATAATTTCGATTTTGGTCTCTGGACTAATTCCTACCTAAAGTACAAGAGACCAAAAAAGTAAAGAAATTTAAACCACAGGGACCGAAACAACAATCAATTGTAAATCATAAGGACAAAAATAGCAATGAATTACAAACCATAGGGATGAAATCAAAAGTTCTAAACCACTGGGATAGAAATTGCAATTTTTAACAAACCACAGGGAAGGAAAACGTAATTTGCTCTATGTTGGAACCTGCAGTTACTCCTCAAGGGCTTTTTTGGAAAGTAATTTGTTATTTATTGATGCTTTTTATCTGCCCGCTTACTTGTTCAATCAATATGGTTTCAGCAATCTGTTCCGTGTATTTGGCTCTGGTCCCAGCAGTACTGAATCAACTACCCTGGAAGCTAGCAAAAATCCAATGAGGTAAGGGCCAGTTTGTTAGCAGCTTAATGAGCTTAACTGGACTTGCAGCTTACTAGGTCAGCTATATATAACTGTTTGGTAGTGGCTTAAAGATACAAAAATTGGCTTATTCAGTAAGCTTTTATGGGGAGCTTTATGCAGAAAACCAAGTTTTTACAGAACCCACCTTTCACAATAGAAACATGCTCTTTCAATCTATGAAAAAACCCACCCAAACAAAAACCTTCCAATCTATATACATAGATTAATCCACACAGGACTTAATGACCAAACAACCTCTTAGTTAATGCAACTACTTCAGTTATATTGGATAGATACGCTTCCAATTTGCCGGTCCGGTCTCTACCCTTTTGGGGGTGGAGGTTAGTCTGCTTGCATCTCACCCCCCACACCCCACCTTCGGGTGGGGTATACTGGGTTTGTTTGGTTTGTTTTAGTTTATATCTGCTTCCAATTTCTTGTATAACATAAATGTGTTGATTGTAGGCGACAAGTTCAGACTCCTTCAAGGCCTTCGAGATCCCTAAGCAGCAGCATAACCCGTGTAGTTAGAAGAGGTCAGTTTAGCTGTCTTTTTTTTATCCACCCAAATCGGCTTTATAAGATACCAAATATATTTGAATGTCCTAACAGACTGATTTATATGACTTAAGTTAAAACAATAATGCCTCTTATGTAAATGTGTTAAAATAAATGCTTTTGGGAGTCCTAACAAGTTTTTCAGGACGATTTAGAAATGAAGCGTCATATTACTCTTTTTATACGACATTATTTGAAAATTTGTTTGATAAAAACAAGTGTCCCATAAAAAGCCTTTTTCATATGACACCTCTCAGAAGTGTCCTATAGAGAATGGGAAATTGACAGAAATAACCGATTAGCAAACAGGGTTTTACTTTCTAGCCATTTTCTTATCCAAATTCACTTTTTAGACAATGCTTACGCAGAAGGCTATGTGTAAGGATTGGTTTTTGGCCAATTTTTTTTAAGAATCCTAACTTGAAAAGTGGAATCCGTATGCGGAAACCTTACGCATATGCATTAAGGTTTCTTTCTTTCTTTTTTGCCGAAAACCAATCCTTACGCATATGCGTATGCATTATGCGTAAGGATTGGCTAAAAAGTGAAACCACCTATCAGCTTTGGCTATTTATGTAACTTTCTGTAAAAAACTAATAAGACAATTTGTTTCAAAAGTGTTCTAAAAAACTTGTTACGAAATCCAAAAACGTCTTATCAACTTATTGCAACACTTTTACATAGGACAAGAAATTGTTTGGTTATAGAACTTCGTCCTATAAAGCAGTCTATCTAACTTGTGGCATGATCAATGAGAACCCTATACTTTTATCGTGAGATATCTCTTCACACTATATTTTCCATCTAAGGCTAAAATTTAAGATATTTATCAACATATATTTGTTTCACAATGTTGTTTCATATGTTCGTTCGGTTCACAATGTGAAACTTTTTGTATGTATGTTTTGTCTCACAAACACGTAAAAAAATGTTCACATTGTTAAACAAATATATGTTCATCAATACCCTAAATCCAAGTTGTAGATGGAAAAAAATGTGAAATAGCACACGACGCACTGGTTCTCAGGGTTATCCCAGTTTTGTAGGTTCTCAAGGGATTAGCCCTATTAGGACATTTAGACATATATGACGTCCTATAAAGCCAATTTCGTTGTAGTGACGATTGATGATTCTTAGTACAAAACGTAACTAAATTCTTGAATACGTTCAGGTGGAGAAAGTCCAGATGGAAATGGGAACTCATTCGATTTCACCACGAAGTTGCTTCATCTAGCTTGGCATCCAACTGAAAACTCCATCGCCTGTGCTGCTGCCAACAGCTTGTACATGTACTACGCGTAAAACGTAGAAGAAACGAACCTTATTGTGTTGCTTCGGCTTTTTAACACTTTTGTTGGTTTAACATATCCAACGGCTTCGTCTTTAGATCGACCACAGAAAGATCCCCACTCGAGAAGATATCTTTAGAATCCTCAGAGAACAAAGCGACTTCGGTCATTTTGCCGTTTATTTTTCCGATTTCCGAAAAGGGTTCTTGTTTTCTTTCTTTTTGTGTTTTGTTGGGTTGAAATGAGGAAAACAGAGTGGGAATTGGATCTTAAGAAACTTGGGGAAAAAAGGGATGAATTTAGGGCTTAAAAAGTTTAAGATGTAGTTTTTAGTTGGGAAGGAGCTGAGCTGCTTACTTGCATTGCAGGCCATCAAAGTTTATATAATCATTTTCATTTTCATTTTCATTTTTTTTTTTTTTCATTTTTCCATGTTTTGTTATCCTTTAATTTCTCTCTAGATTGTAAAAGAAACCCCGGTTCGAAACTAAACGGTAGCGTTTAATGCTCGGTTTGGACATTTCAACTTGACCAAAATCTGTTGTCTTATGAAGTGTAAGGGGTTGTTTGGTTGGTTTTTCATTAAGTCTTGTATCTGAATGAAGTTGTCTCTGTGATTTAATCTATTTGTATGGATAAATAAGGTTTTTGTTCGGGATTTTTTTTTCGTCCATAGATGTAATGAACGTGTTTTTTAATTGGGAGAGATATTTCTGCATAAAGTTTCTTCGCAAGAAGCTTATTGAACAAGTCATTTTCTAAACATTCATGTATAACTGACTGAATAAGCTTTGGACTTTTAAACTTATTTAGCTGCTAACAAACATACCTTAAGAGTCACTTACGGCATCTTCAATGGGCAACACCAATAAAAATTTGGTGTAAAAGAAAGATCAAACTCGTTAATAAATACTAGACAAATGGGTTGACAGTGAACAGTACTACGTTCCACTTATTGAACATGATTATATGGTTGACAGTGTCTTTAAAAAAAGGGGGAAAAGACCTTCGGGATTAAATTATGCTCTATGTCCCTTATTTCACAGAAAACGGAGAGGCAAATTGATGTACTTATTGGATCTGTCGCGACTGACAAGGCCTGAACCCGCAACATTCACCTTGACAGGATGTTGCTCTTGCCTATTGAGCCAAACTTTAACTGTTAACACAGAATCTTACACCAAAATATGATATTCTGGATATATATCTTTTTACCTCTTCCAATTGAGGTAAATTCTGTTAATTTTCTTTGTTACTATTCATTACACCAAATTTGCGTCCCCGTTGGAGTGATTTGGTGTCAGATTTGGTAATTGGTGAAAGACTTATGGTCTCTATTGGAGACGGTTTTATAGATTTTCAATAAATTCTTTTAAATAAAGACAATGAGGATTTTTAGCTGATTTTGAGCTCCAACTGATACTTTTATATGATCATCTTGAATGGTATCATCCTAAGAGTCTTCTTGATGCAAACTTGAACTATGTTTGCAAAAAGGGTAGATATATACAACAAACTCAAAATTTGAATGCATGGGAATATATATCAGAGTTATATCTGAAAAACAATGTTGAGTCGAGTTCAAATAAAAGATATATACAAAAACTTATTTATAAATTACTAGAAGGGTACTCGCATAATATAGTAAAATATATCTCAATTTTAATGTTTCATTTTATTATTTATCTTAGTCGATGTAATACGGATTTTACTGGTTTTGAGAAAGCGATAATGTTTTCATTTTTTGAACAAAATATAAATTTCAAGATATCATAAAAATTTGGAAAAAAAAAATATATCGATAATAGTATCAAAAATTTACTATTTAAATTTCTCGTTTTCTTTGTGTAATTTCTTTAATTCAATATTTTATTTATAATTTAATTTAGATTTAATAACGAAGTAATTTATTT